CATTTTCAACTAAAGGTCACGACAAAATGTCAAAACAAGTGACACGCTTGGCACCCTCCACACTGAGGGGCTTCCTTTCTGCCAGTACAAGCACGTGTTTCTCCCAAAAATGATCCAACTCTGACCTTTGTTACTTGCCAGGCAACACAAAGGATGACCAGGTCAATGGGGACAAAGGAAGAACTCGACACAGGGAGTGCTTTAGCCTCTTGCGCAGTGGCGGACCAACAATTTATGGAAGGCTCTTTCACAACCTGCAACCACGTCCCAGATAACCCATGTTATCTTCGACAGTCATAGATCCTTCCACCACAAATTTTTATACAAATTTAACCACTACATTTCATAAAAATCTGAAAGGTAAACCCAAACTTTTTTAAGCAATGTGGACTAAAGTAGCTTCTGGGGGCCTGTCTGGGATTAGGGACACCTGAAGCTTAAGCTTTATTAGTTTTATAGTAGATCATCCCATCTCTGCGTGCTTTAGCCACAAGCCTATGTCTATAATGGTCATTACAGTACGAAGCTATGACAACATTACAAACAGCAGGATCACCACCAAAGAATAACTGTATGATTTAATGTCGTAGACATAACACCTTCGCTAACACACCGCATCATAATCATTAAAACAAACAGCGATATTCATTTAAAAAACAAAAAAAAAGATGCCAAAACAAATGTAAATACAAAATAAGCAAAATGTGCGTGGTTAATACGGAGCGTACTACAACACAGGAGATTACTCATGTCGCTGGAGGATATGACCAAGCTACCAGACGACAACAGACAAGACACTCACTGCATTCTCACTGCTGCCACTTGTTGCCGTGACTCAAGATAACCACAGCCTTACTTATCGCACTCCCAGGACAAATAATTTTCACTCTATGTCCCTCCTTTATCATTTACAAAAATTCTGTAAACGATAAAGGTGGCGCTAACTAAAAATACCCTGCATCACAGAGTTCATTCCCACTTGTGTAAAAAGTAAACAAAGATACAGTACTTTTAATGAGTATATACAGTAGTAGTAGTAGTAGTAGTAGTAGTAATAATAATAATAATAATAATAATAATAATAATAATAATAATAATAATAATATAAAGGGGTTTCTGGCAGTCTCGGAGTTATTACGTCACTAAAGCTTATACAATTCTCCTATTTACTGATGACTCATTTTTTCCTATATTCAAAATGTACATTTGATTTTTTTTTTATCTTGCCTTGTCACACAGCTACCTTTCTCACCCTGCCACAGGGCAAGGGTGCTACCCTTTCTCACCCCTGCCACAGGGCAAGGGTGCTACCCTTTCTCACCCCTGCCACAGGGCAAGGGTGCTACCCTTCCTCACCCCTGCCACAGGGCAAGGGTGCTACCCTTCCTCACCCTGCCATAGGGCAAGGGTGCTACCCTTCCTCACCCTGCCATAGGGCAAGGGTCCTACCCTTCCTCACCCTGCCACAGGGCAAGGGTCCCACCCTTCCTCACCCTGCCACAGGGCAAAGGTCCTACCCTTCCTCACCCTGCCACAGGGCAAGGGTCCTACCCTTCCTCACCCTGCCACAGGGCAAGGGTCCTACCCTTCCTCACCCTGCCACAGGGCAAGGGTCCCACCCTTCCTCACCCTGCCACAGGGCAAGGGTCCTACCCTTCCTCACCCTGCCACAGGGCAAGGGTCCCACCCTTCCTCACCCTGCCACAGGGCAAGGGTCCCACCCTTCCTCACCCTGCCACAGGGCAAGGGTCCCACCCTTCCTCACCCTGCCACAGGGCAAGGGTCCCACCCTTCCTCACCCTGCCACAGGGCAAGGGTCCCACCCTTTCTCACTCCTGCCACAGGGCAAGGGTCCCACCCTTTCTCACTCCTGCCACAGGGCAAGGGTCCCACCCTTCCTCACCCTGCCACAGGGCAAGGGTCCCACCCTTCCTCACCCTGCCACAGGGCAAGGGTCCCACCCTTCCTCACCCTGCCACAGGGCAAGGGTCCCACCCTTCCTCACCCTGCCACAGGGCAAGGGTCCTACCCTTCCTCACCCTGCCACAGGGCAAGGGTCCTACCCTTTCTCACTCCTGCCACAGGGCAAGGGTCCCACCCTTCCTCACCCTGCCACAGGGCAAGGGTCCCACCCTTCCTCACCCTGCCACAGGGCAAGGGTCCTACCCTTCCTTACCCTGCCACAGGGCAAGGGTCCCACCCTTTCTCACCCTTGCCACAGTGCAAAGGTCCAAGCTTAACCCATCTACACCCTGCCACAAAGCTAAGACCATCTTCACCCTGCCACAAAACTAAGCCCATCTTCACCCCTGCCACAAAGCTAAGACCATCTTCACCCTGCCACAAAGCTAAGACCATCCTCACCCCTGCCACAAAGCTAAGACCATCCTCACCCCTGCCACAAAGCTAAGCCCATCTTCACTCTGCCACAAACCTAAGACCATCTTCACCCCTGCCACAAAGCTAAAACCATCTTCACCTTGCCACAAAGCTAAGCCCATCTTCACTCTGCCACAAACCACTGTGGACCATGCGGTAAATCTCTAACTAAACGGAGACACTAAATACCATATTGCACTGTGGTCTCCAGGCATTTCTCCATTATTTTTTTTTTTATTTATTTATATATACGAGAGCTGTTACATTCTTGTGCAGCCACTAACATGCATAGCGTTTTGGGCAGGTCCTTAATCCTATGTTCCCGGAATACGAACCGCCAAATCGTTTAACAGCCAAGTACCCATTTTACTGTTGGGTTAAACCAGAGGTTACAAGTTAAGGATTTGCGCCTAGTAAATCGCCCCCGGCCAAGATACGAACCCAGGACAAAGAGCTCATTACTTTAAGTTTACCATCTACAGTACCAACATAAAACTGAGTGACTGATAATGAAAAGAAAATCACTTTTTTCTGTTGATGAATTTGGTAAGTTTCCACACTTGTGGAACTGTTCCCGACTCCGAGTAACTTATTGTAAAGCATGGTAAAAGCTGTCCCCTTTTTCACACACAGAGATCACACTAACGTGATGCATCAAATGAACAAATCCACAAGGGCAGTGACAAGGATTCGAACCTGCGTCCGGGAGCATCCCAGACACTGCCTTAATCGACTGAGCTACGACAGGGTAAAAGAGTTGACCCTTTTACCCTGTCGTAGCTCAGTCGATTAAGGCAGTGTCTGGGATGCTCCCAGACGCAGGTTCGAATCCTCGTCACTGCCCTTGTGGATTTGTTCATCTGTCCCTTTTTCACTTTTAACTTCCATTATTATTCTTGGATAAAATTTGTCAGGACCCGCTACTGAGTGTTTTGTCCAAGCCTTATTTTGCACACTTAAGTGCATCCTCTTCAAAACTTTTAATAAATTAAAGGAATTGTTGTTCATTATTTAGTAGTGGCGATTGTAAGGGCACGTGAAGTAAATTTTCCACAGTAAATAGTGATGAAAGAACTTTATTTAATATTCACACCATCTCCAAATATCACACACTTGTGTGGGAACACAGTTCAATTTGCTTGCTTGTACTTACACACTAGAAGGCTTGATTTATTTAAAGAAATTATGCCACAAATGTAGTCCAGTCCTCTACATTTTCCTCCATACGTATAACTTGTCCTAATTCACAATATTTCACCTAAATATCTCAAATTTGTCAAATTTCAGCATTTTTAAAATGTTCACAAAGCATTACTGCACATGAAGACCTTTAACGTTTCGCACGCAAGTATAATATTTACACGACACAGAGTAACCATGAGCAGTGCGTACATACAGACCTTTCACACGAAACCAACACACACACAGAAGAAGATATTACGGATTACACATTTCAGATGACTTACAAGTAGCACAAGTAGCAGAGCAACTGCTAATGTGCCCGTACACGGCACTAACTTACCTTTTCATGGTGGATGACACATTATGTTTTATCCAGAAATGAGAGAATGATGTGGAAAGTTTAGGAACATGGCTTTCTAGCCTAATCTAGCATGTCCTAAGAACTTTTTTTATAAGATAAAAACATTGATTCTAAAACCTCTGTTTTACCTTGGCCAAAAAGCTTTATGAAATAAAAATCAGAGTTGTGTCATGTTCTTAAACTAAAGGAACAGTGATTTCATCTGAAGTCAAATTCACATAGAAAATGAAAAACGGTGAAAATAAGTGGAGAAGGTAGACTATTGTATTTTGTTAGCCAAAAAATTACAAATACACTTGACTTTCTATGAGAGAATTCTACAATCAGCATGTGTCAGGTTTATTATTGGTAGAAGAATTTGATTACAGGTAATTTATATTTCAAGATTCTGTCAAACTAGTGATTATAAATAGTTCAATTGAAGCTAGTAGCTGAAATTCAAACACTTAAATTTCCCTTTCAACCAAAAAACTTGAAAGCATATCATGGTATTAACATGTTATTAGCATTCTAGCTCACAGAAGATAGACCTGCTAATTTATCTGTCAAGAAAATGCACTTATCACACAAATGTATGAGAGAACTATGCAGGCAGTCGGGTTTATCTCAGTATGTCATATTTACAGAGTCCAAAATTATAAATTATGCCAGACTTAAGCTTCTCCAAAAAAAAATCCTTCAATGTTTTCAATATGTATCATCAAAATATTACCAACTCCATTATTTTCTGCCGAACAAACTACAGTACAGTACTAAACATTGTTAACCAGACCACACACTAGAAAGTTAAGGGACGACGATGTTTCGGTCCGTCCTGGACCATTCTCAAGTCCACAATCGATTTGAGAATGGTCCAGGATGGATCGAAACGTCGTCGTCCCTTCACTTTCTAGTGTGTGGTCTGGTCAACATACTTCAGCCCCGTTATTGTGACTCATCACCTACTGAACACTACACTGAATTTTGACTCTGGCGACGTATAAAAATGACAACAAAAACAGCAGACTGGGTTTACAGTATAAGATGCCAAGAGCAAACCAAAATTCAGTGACTGGAAATCATAATATGGAACACTCACTTCCTGTAGATATTTCTTGTCAGCTGCAACTTTGTTCGCCTGCAGCATACGCACCGCATTCTTGGCCCCCTCCATACACCGGCACTCTACATGCAGCCGGTGAATTAGTTCTTCAATTCTAACATCCACAGGAGTTTCTAAGTTGTACTTGTTGGCTGCCTCACCTGCAAATACAGAAATATATATAAAATTACCAATACTGTATACCCGAGCCATCTGCCTTCATTCAACACTATTCTTGCTTCAGCTCAGCGGAAAGGATCGTAACAGCTTCATAGATTTGTTATACATTTTCTAGAAATACTGTACATAATTTGTGGCGCTATATAATATACAATTTCTGTACATATTTAATAACCACTGTAACACGTTCCTGTGTATATTTTATAAATATAATGCATTATAAATTTCTGAAACTCCAAATATAAATAATGTCTACAAGTGTTAAAAAGCTTAAGGACTTGCATATGAGACATTTGTTGCAAGATTTCCCCATTTGTGTTCAGCTATTACGAAGAGAAAAAATAAGTTTAGAGTAAATTTGATTAGAAATGCAAATTCACTTCTAAGAGAACAAATTACTGTACTAGGTAATATATGCTTATTTTAATGGTCTAAGGAATTTTTTGGATGAAATAGATTGGAAAGTCCTGGGCATGGGGGGGCGGTCTTGGAGCGAGACGTGAACCTAGCGATGGGTGATGTAAAAAGGGATTTCGATGTGGATTCAAAATATAACTTGTTTGAAAATATTCTAAGCAAAGCACATAGTATAGTATAGTGTAGTATCTTCTTGAGGTTATCTTGAGATGATTTCGGGGCTTTTTAGTGTCCCTGCGGCCCGGTCCTCGACCAGGCCCCCACCCCCAATTAGCAGCCTGTGACAGCAGACTAACACCCAGGTACCTATTTTACTGCTAGGTAACAGGGGCATAGGGTGAAAGAAACTCTGCCCATTGTTTCTCGCCGGCGCCTGGGATCGAACCCGGGACCACAGGATCACAAGTCCAGCGTGCTGTCCGCTCGGCCGACCGGCTCCCCGTATATACCCTAGTATACCATAGAAATTGAATATATCAAATAATAATGACCCAAAATGGTTAACAAAGAATCTGAAGAACCTTATAGGTAGAAAGAGAGCTTGGTACAAAAGGATTAACACTTTCGCGCCCCATTCGGATGGTAAAAAAAAAAAGCGGTATGTGCTTGCGGCGTTTTTGCCGCTTAAGCGTAAAAACAAAAATGTGTATACTCTTTTTACTCTCCTGACCTTAGTTCTCGAGCTACGTATTTCATTTTGGTACCAACGTGTTCGCAATAAAATTCTCTAGAAGACCATCAGTAAAAAAAGTCACGAAACGTATAGGGATACCAGCACCAAATAAATAACTACGAAGATGACTCGCCGTGAGCGCCCAACAGCAACAAAATGTTTTTACTCTTGGGATTGTTATCACCTCCACACTTGTCCTACAGCGTTAATTTTGGTATCAATGGACTCGCAATGAAATTCCGATCATGGTGATATGAATATAAGCGTAGAATAATAATTGCGGCCCGCCCGCAAGAGTGTGGGAAGGGGTGAAATTGTTACCCGGTATCGGTGACGGGACGACACACGGCGCTTTGAAAGTTTATACTTATTTCACTCTTATGACATTATTATTCTATGTACGTCATTCATTTTTGTGTCAATGTGTTCGCAATAGAATGTTCTATGAGCCCGTAGGTAAAAAAGATCAACAAAGCGTAGGATAGAATAGCGCCAAATATAAAACAACGCTGGAACATATCAGTGAGCGTCAAACACACACGAAATGTTTTTACTTTTGTTATGTTTGTAAACCTTTCATGAACTTATTGTACCATGCAGCCTAGTGGAGAGAAAGAGAGCCTCATGGCGCGCAGTTTGAAACAAACCCAAAGTAAATCGGATAAAAATTGAATTTTATACAAATATTTTAAAAGAGGACATAAATTTATGTCCACCATGCGGGAGCGGGTAGGCGAAACAGGACGCCGGGAGGAGTCCTCATCCGCTGAAAGTGTTAAAATGGGAAGTCAGTTTAGAACAAGAATTCATCCAACTGAACGAAGCCGGTCGGCCGAGCGGACAGCACGCTGGAATTGTATTCCTGTGGTCCTGGGTTTGATCCCAGGCGCCGGCAAGAAACAATGGGCAAAAGTTTCTTTCACCCTATGCCCCTGTTACCTAGCAGTAAAAATAGGTACCTGGGTGTTAGTCAGTTGTCACGGGCTGCTTCCTGGGGGTGGAGGCCTGGTCGAGGACCGGGCCGCGGGGACACTAAAAAGCCCCGAAAACATCTCAAGATAACCTCAAGATAACTGGTAAGACATATTTAAAAAAGAGAGAGATAAGGAGGGCAAAAAGAAACTATGAGGTTCACATAAAAGGGCAAGCAAAGTCAAATCCTAAAGGATTTTTTCAGTTATATCAAACAAAGATTAGGGGAAAGGAAAAGTCCATTAAAAACTGGGACAGGTCAGATAGCTGATGATGATGAAGAGATGAGTAGTATTTTTAATAAATATTTCATCTCTGTGTTTACTAAAGAGGAACTTAACATTATGCCTTCAGCCGAACAAGTCTATGTTGGTGGGGACGAGGACAGGTTGACCAGTTTAGCCAGAAAAAAACAGAGAGGATGTTGTTATACAAATAGCAAAACTCAAGCCAAACAAATCCCCAGGGCTGAATGAAGTGTTTGCCAGGGTGCTTAAAGAATGCAAAGAGGAGCTTTGCGAGCCGCTGTCTACCATATTTAATAAATCATTAGAGGCATTCAGGTTGCCAATCTATCGGCCAATTAGCTTAACGTCTATTGTGGGAAAGTTACTCGAATTGATAATTGCAAATATCATTCATCTTCATTTTGAACAAATACATTAATAAATGATTCACAACATGAACAAATCAACATGTTGATTTATTCAACGAACCACAGAGGCTCATGGTATTGGGGGGTACTATATTTAGTTGCATTAGGGCATGGCTATACCATGGAAAAATGTTGTAAGTGGAGTGCCTCCTGGGACCTTTGTTATTCATAATATATATAAATGATTTACATTCAAGTTTGAGCAGCAATATATGCAAATTTGCCAATGATACAAAAATTGAGAGGGAAATAAATACGGATAAAGACTCACTATCATTTCAAGAAGATCTAAATAGGGTTTTGAAATTGTCAAAAGATTGGCAGATGCAGTTTAATGCTAACAAATGTAAGGTTTTGGGGCTAGATAATGATGATAGAGTTACGTGATACGAGCTAGATGGTGTTGAGATTGCGAAGTCAAATTGCGAAAGGAATCTGAGAGTTATTATTAGTAAGAATTTAAAACCAAAAATCCATGCATTATGTTTGTAATAAGGCAAATAGGACACTGGGAATTATTTATCGAAGCGTCAGTAATAAGACATCTGGTGTTGCTCTGGTTAGGCCTTATTTAGATTATACAGTTCAGTTTTGGTCGTCGTACAAAAGAATGGATATAAGTTCACTAGAACGCGTCCAGCGTAGGATGACGAAGTTAATCCCGCAAATTAGAAACTTGTCATATGAAGAAAGATTGACAAAGCTCTAGAAATCTTTCATTCTCTAGAAAGGCGAAGAATTCGGGGTGACATGATAGAGGTTTACAAGTGGATGAATGGTCATAACAAAGGGGATATTAATAGGGGTATTAAAAGTATCATCACAAGACAAAACATGAAGAAATGTGTATAAATTGGATAAGTTTAGATTCTGGAAAGCCCTGGGTAAATTAAATACTGGTTCGGTAACAAGGTTGTTTATATATGGAAATAATTACTGTGTAACATAATAGAAGTAGGATCCATTGAATGTTTCAAGAGTAGGTTAGACATATATATGAATGAGATGGGCCAATAGGCTTTCTGCAGTTACCTTCATTCTTATGTTCTTATAACAGACGTCGGATGACTGTATTTTTCAAGCATAGGTTAGACATACATATGAATGAGTTTAGGTGGATATAAATAGGAGCTGTCTCATATGGGCCAATAGGCCTTCTGCAGGGTCCTCTATCCTTATAATTTTATGTTCTTTAGCCTTCTGGCAAGCCATTATATATACTATTCATTTGCCTATTACAGGAGTGAAGCAATTGGTTCTTACTTGCTAAGGAAAACAATTAGTGGCATTAAGAAGTACAGGTGTCTCAAGACCATGAACGTGAGATAGAACAAGGAGTCCTAAAGTACACAAATGGGATGATTGAATATAAACAGAAGCTGCCTCATGTAGACCAAAATGTCTTCTGCATTTTCTGTTATTCCTGCTTTCTATGTATAAGAATATACTGTATATACTTTACTGTGAATGTCAGGAAAAGTATCGGAAAACTGGTAAAGATAGAAGCTATATGAAACAGAGGCAAATAGATCAATCTTAAACTGGTTGATTGGTTTAAATACCTTGGGGTCTGTAGTTGACTAAAATGCAATTTGTGCAAAAGAAGTCGAAAGTAAAGTTTGAGATGGAAATTGTCTGTTAAGATGCAGGTCCTGATCAATAATAATAATGTAAGAGACACAGCTAAGGGGAAGCGTACAGTACAAGCTGTATGACGCTGGCATGATACAGTACAGTACAACCAATCAAGGTTAGATAATATGTTTAAGGTAATATGTTTATTTGTGATGTGTGTCTATGTATGTATTAACACGATGTACTGAACGGGGTGAGAATAGCTTGAGCTACCTCATCCCTTTGTGTGTATTTTACCTCAATAAACTTATTTCAATTTCAATTCAATTTCAATCAAGGTTAGAGAAATAGAATTGAACAACCTGCATCTGTGGTGATAAAAATGTCATGGAGCGATGCAGAGAGTAAAACTCAGTAAATCCAAAAATTGAGCGTTTCAAAATTTAGTGTGTTTGTGGCTTTTGACAAAATCTCCCACTGGAGGTTGTTTTGGAAACTTGAACATGCTGGAGGGATGACAGGAAGACTTCTAACATGAATGAGACATTTTCTGACAGAAAGGTACAAGAGGGTAACTAGAAGTAATGTATCTGACTGGAGGTGTGTTACTAGCGGAGTACCGCAAGGGTTCAGTTCTTGAGCCAAATATATTCGTCGCTTACATAAATGAGCAACCAAAAGGAATACAGAATTATATGAACATGTTTATAATTCTAACTAACTTATAATTCTAACATGTAGCTACTAGGTAGGGTAGGAAATCTAGACGATTGTCATGCCCTTCAAATTGACCTAAGTAAAACAAGTGCTTGGAGCACCATGTGGCAAATGGAATTCAATGCAAATAAAGTTTATGTTATGGAATGTAGAATAGTAGAAAATAGACCACACACAACCTACAAATTATGTGGAAAGGACTTAAAGAACTCTAATAAAGAACTATATCTAGGGGGCACTTTTCTAAGAATTTAAAGCTTGCACATTAAACAATTTCTAACTACTGTACGTGAAGATATTCTCTCGTCTAAATAAAACTATTGTACATAATCTTCCTTACCTTAACTTTCTGTTAATAAATTTTCTTTCACGAACTTTGATGCATACCACAAACAATAACTTCCTTACCTTTGGGTTTACCTTCGGCGTCTAAACCATTCTCTGTTTGCGTTTGTTTAGCTTTAATTCTTCTCATTTTTATGTATTCAATTTTTGCTTTAGAGTCCGCTAACATTTGTTGTGCTTCTGCAAGAAGCTTCTTGTCCCGCATTGGTCCCACACTGTACATCTGTATCATGTTTTCTGCACCCGCTTTAACCTGAAAAACAAAATGAGCCATCACACAATGTCAAATGAAGAGGGAGCTCCTATATGCTAAACTGTTAATCGTTACTTAAGGTTGATTTATCATCTCATTACTCAGTATGCTAATCATCCTGGTATCCAATCCAAAAATGCAGGTTTGTTAATTAGTGAAAAAGCTTGTTACTGTTCGAAGGAGTTAGAATCAATTGCAGTGTACTGTATATTACATTAACTATATAGCAGAATGACACTTGTATAATAGTCGGATACACCGAGATCAATATGTACACAGATTAAATGTTGATAGTGTTGTCATCAATATCAGTACTAACATGAGCAAGCTATTTACATCAGCCCTTTTAGTGTCACGATACTTGCAAGCATTCGAACACGACAGTCAGACATCTGGTGCAATGTAGGAATTACATACAGGATTCCTCTCGGAATCAGAACCCCCATGAATGGGTCTTTTACATCCCCTTAACAAAGCATTATATAATATGTTGGGTGGGAAGAGGGCGAACCATTAAAAGTGATACTGCATACAGTATGCACAAAGGGCATGTATAAATGTGTATAATGCGGCAAGGATATTTATGCTTCGGTGAAGTGGCATAAGTTATGTATGAATGGGCAGACTGTGGCAAAGGCATGTATGAATGGCATATTTGTGGCAAAGGCATGTATAAATGGGCATATTTGTAGCAAAGGCACGTATGAATGGGCATACTGTAGCAAAGGCACATATGAATGGGCATATTTGTAGCAAAGGCACATATGAATGGGCATATTTGTAGCAAAGGCACATATGAATGGGCATATTTGTAGCAAAGGCACATATGAATGGGCATATTTGTAGCAAAGGCACATATGAATGGGCATATTTGTGGCAAAGACATGTATGAATGGGCATATTTGTAGCAAAGGCACATATGAATGGGCATATTTGTGGCAAAGACATGTATGAATGGGCATATTTGTAGCAAAGGCACTTATGAATGACCATACTGTAGCAAAAGCACGTATGAATGAAGAGATTATGGTAGGGATGCGAATGACAGTAGACTGCAGCACGGGGATGCACGAATGAGATGATTTTTCAGAGGATGCTTAACAGCCAGATATATTACCACTGAGCTAATCAAGTGAGAAATATCAGGTCCTATGCCAGGCATCTCTCGTACTACAAAATATTACATTCATAAAAAAAGCTCATTCCTCCCTCTATACATGTATTAAAATATTGGGCAGAGGGGGAATGATGAATGTGAGGGAGATTGTGAAGGAGGAGGTGATGCTGTAGGTGGCAGATGTGTCAAATCACCGCCGCAAGGTAACCTCAAGGTAAGGTAGCCCGTATGTGACAACCTTGACATTTGAGTGTTTGCATTAATGCTGTAACATTTGTGGTTAGATGGATGTTGTCATGTGAGTACTCTTTACAAGATTTTAATGGCAGTTGGTGTAGTGATGGTAGTGTAATGGTGAAGTGGTAATGGTGTGGTGGATGAGAGGTGTGGTGGTGGTGGTGGAGAGGTGTGGTGGTGGTGGTGGTGGAGAGGTGTGGTGGTGGTGGTGGAGAGGTGTGGTGGTGGTGGTGGAGTGGTGTGGTGGTGGTGGTGGTGGAGAGGTGTGGTGGTGGTGGTGGAGAGGTGTGGTGGTGGTGGAGAGGTGTGGTGGTGGTGGAGAGGTGTGGTGGTGGTGGTGGTGGAGAGGTGTGGTGGTGGTGGAGAGGTGTGGTGGTGGTGGTGGTGGAGAGGTGTGGTGGTGGTGGTGGAGAGGTGTGGTGGTGGTGGAGAGGTGTGGTGGTGGTGGAGAGGTGTGGTGGTGGTGGTGGTGGAGAGGTGTGGTGGTGGTGGTGGAGGTGTGGTGGTGGTGGTGGAGAGGTGTGGTGGTGGTGGAGAGGTGTGGTGGTGGTGGAGAGGTGTGGTGGTGGTGGAGAGGTGTGGTGGTGGTGGTGGAGAGGTGTGGTGGTGGTGGTGGAGAGGTGTGGTGGTGGTGGTGGAGAGGTGTGGTGGTGGTGGTGGAGAGGTGTGGTGGTGGTGGTGGAGAGGTGTGGTGGTGGTGGAGGAGAGGTGTGGTGGTGGTGGAGAGGTGTGGTGGTGGTGGAGAGGTGTGGTGGTGGGTGGTGGAGAGGTGTGGTGGTGGTGGTGGAGAGGTGTGGTGGTGGTGGTGGAGAGGTGTGGTGGTGGTGGTGGAGAGGTGTGGTGGTGGTGGTGGAGAGGTGGGTGGTGGTGGTGGAGAGGTGTGGTGGTGGGGGTGGAGAGGTGTGGTGGTGGTGGTGGAGAGGTGTGGTGGTGGTGGTGGAGAGGTGTGGTGGTGGTGGTGGAGAGGTGTGGTGGTGGTGGAGAGGTGTGGTGGTGGTGGTGGTGGAGAGGTGTGATGGTGGTGGTGGAGAGGTGTGGTGGTGGTGGTGAGGTGTGGTGGTGGTGGTGGAGAGGTGTGGTGGTGGTGGTGGTGTGGTGTGGTGGTGGTGGTGGAGGGGTGTGGTGGTGGTGGTGGTGGAGAGGTGTGGTGGTGGTGGAGAGGTGTGGTGGTGGTGGAGAGGTGTGGTGGTGGTGGAGAGGTGTGGTGGTGGAGAGGTGTGGTGGTGGTGGAGAGGTGTGGTGGTGGTGGTGGAGAGGTGTGGTGGTGGTGGAGAGGTGTGGTGGTGGTGGAGAGGTGTGGTGGTGGTGGTGGAGAGGTGTGGTGGTGGTGGTGGTGGAGAGGTGTGGTGGTGGTGGGAGAGGTGTGGTGGTGGTGGTGGTGGTGAGTGGTGGTGGTGGTGGAGAGGTGTGGTGGTGGTGGTGGAGAGGTGTGGTGGTGGTGGAGAGGTGTGGTGGTGGTGGAGAGGTGTGGTGGTGGTGGTGGTGGAGAGGTGTGGTGGTGGTGGTGGAGAGGTGTGGTGGTGGTGGAGAGGTGTGGTGGTGGTGGTGGAGAGGTGTGGTGGTGGTGGTGGAGAGGTGTGGTGGTGGTGGAGAGGTGTGGTGGTGGTGGTGGAGAGGTGTGGTGGTGGTGGAGAGGTGTGGTGGTGGTGGTGGAGAGGTGTGGTGGTGGTGGAGAGGTGTGGTGGTGGTGGAGAGGTGTGGTGGTGGTGGAGAGGTGTGGTGGTGGTGGAGAGGTGTGGTGGTGGTGGTGGAGAGGTGTGGTGGTGGTGGAGAGGTGTGGTGGTGGTGGTGGAGAGGTGTGGTGGTGGTGGAGAGGTGTGGTGGTGGTGGAGAGGTGTGGTGGAGAGGTGTGGTGGTGGTGGTGAGGTGTGGTGGTGGTGGTGGTGGAGAGGTGTGGTGGTGGTGGTGGTGGTGGTGAGGTGTGGTGGTGAGGTGTGGTGGTGGTGGAGAGGTGTGGTGGTGGTGATGGTGGTGGAGAGGTGTGGTGGTGGTGAGGTGTGGTGGTGGTGGTGAGGTGTGGTGGTGGTGGTGAGGTGTGGTGGTGGTGGTGAGGTGTGGTGGTGGTGGTGAGGTGTGGTGGTGGTGGTGAGGTGTGGTGGTGGTGGAGAGGTGTGGTGGTGGTGGAGAGGTGTGGTGGTGGTGGAGAGGTGTGGTGGTGGTGGTGAGGTGTGGTGGTGGTGGAGAGGTGTGGTGGTGGTGGAGAGGTGTGGTGGCGGTGGTGGTGAGGTGTGGTGGTGGTGGAGAGGTGTGGGTGGTGTGGGTGGTGGTGGAGAGGTGTGGGTGGTGTGGGTGGTGGTGGTGGTGGTGGTGGTGGTGGTGGAGAGGGGTGGTGGTGGTGGTGGTGGAGAGGGGTGGTGGTGGTGGTGGTGGAGAGGTGTGGTGGTGGTGGTGGTGGAGAGGGGTGGTGGTGGTAGAGTGGTGGTGGAGAGTTGTTGCAGTTGTGGTGCACCTTTTAGTGTTCCTCCTCAATGGTCATAAACTTATATGGCCTCGTCCTTACAGGGTTCAGTTGATATATCTTAATTGAACAAAACGAAGACGTATAAACTCTAAACACTGTCCAATAACACACACACACACATGGCCAGATGTGTTTCAAACCTCAAGTAAATAAGATGAGTTGTACTGATACCCTGCACAGTACAGTACTGAATAAAGAAGACAAAGTTGCCTTTGGGCTACACGCTCAAAAAACAAAAGGAACCTTATGAATAAATCCACAAGGGCCGTGACAAGGATTCAAACCTATGTCCGAGATCATCCAAGATGCTGCCTTTATTGACTGAACTACGACATGGTCAAAAAGAGTTGAAACCGAAGTTCTACTGAACTTACTGGATCCTGCAGCCTCTCCGAGACACAAACCAGGGTTTTACACAACTCCCCCATGCACTCGAGCTATGTCAATAGGCAGTTCTCCCTCTTCGCCCTTACATCATTACACACAGAAATCACAATAACGTGATGCATCAAATGAGTGGAAAAGAACCTTAGTTTTACGACTCACAAATATGTGTCAATTTAAAGTCGATACTGTATAATGATGTTATCTCAAGATATCGCTGGGGAATGAAAACCAACAATAGTTGCAATGGAGCTACATTGTTAAATTTTATGAACTACAATACATATTTGCTCTAACTTAAGATATTATATACTTCAAGACAACATTAAAAAGCGTTCTGGAGACAGTGAATGGAATCCTGTTAGGAGAATGTTACGAACCAGGTATTTACCCTATTCTCACTAATGTTAATGTATGCAGAAGTATATATATATTCACCCCACCTCAGTTTGATAATATTGAAAAATTAACATATGTTTATCTTTACATAAGAATTATGTTATACTATTTCATCTTGATGATGTATGTTCATTTATGCTATTGTATTTACCCTGCTGTATTATATTGTATGTGAGTAGTCAGTGGTGCGGGCTATACCAGTGGACCTGTATTAGACACGGGAATTTGTCACATGTGCTGGTGGGCGCCACTGTTCCCAGTTTTTGCATTGCATTTTATTATTTATTATATTCCTTTTGTGACACAGAAAGACCTATTGTGGCGGCCCAGTCGACGACCCGGCCGCGGGAACGCTAAGCTCCGAAATTATCTCAAGGTAACACCCATTTCTTTGAGTTGTTA